GCATTCAAGAAGATACCACAGCACGGGTGATGCGATATCAACGCGGACGTCGTACCGAGCCGAGTATCGATAGCCGTGCGAGCGCCTCGACGGAAAGACAGCATGAGCGGGGGCATCGAACGCTTGCCTACAGAACTCATCGAAAGGGTCTTGACTTTTGTGGAGCCTGGCCATCACGATAAAGAGGTCGACATCGCCCAGAGAAGGCACCTGAGTGTCGAGAGCTTCGAGCCGGCGCCTGTGCCCTCGCGAAGCTCTGTGGCCGACGTGGGCAGATTCCGCAGTGTCTGCAAACGATTCGCAGAGATTGGCGAGCCCCTCCTTTTCACTCGTGTCGCCATTCGATTCTCAGTCAATGGTCTCAAGCGCTTAGAGCAGTTAGCAGAGTGGACCCATCTGGCTGCGCAAGTCAGGCGGTTTACCTATCTTGTTCCATACTTTTACGAAGATGGTGAGTGCGGTGATTGCGCGACGTCGGTCATGCGCTGACTTCTGTGTTTGCAGATGCACACGACCTGCAAGGCCTGGCGGAAGAGTTGCGACGATTCGGGCTGGGCACTTCTGACATCGGCAACTTGCAGCGCAAGGAGCTAGAGCAACGGACCATTTGCACCAGAAAGGAAGACGTCCGAATTCTCAAACGTGCAATATCGAGCTTCACGAGACTGGAGCTCGTCCAACTTTTGCGTGTTTCCGATCGAGAGGATGGCATAGTGTTGAACTACCTACGAAGACACGAAGACGCCAGACAGCAGCTCAACCTGAGCTGGAATACTGCATGTTCTCATGCATCCAGGACCATGATCACTGCTCTACTCACCTCCAATGAGGTGCCCTGGTCGAGATTCAGCCTGCCCATCTTGAGCCCGGATAGTGCGCGATTCTTACGACTGAAGGTACCCAACTCCGTTTCGTCTTTGGCTGAGCGGCTGGAGGTGCTCACCCTTCACTTCGACGATAACGATGAACTCGATGCCAAGATTCAAGAATTGTCAATCGTCTTCAAAGAAGTCTTCTCAAAAGCTAGGAATATGAGGGCTGTGCACGTGGGGTTCCCATCCTTCCGTCCTCTAACGTTACCGTTGGAGAGCATCTTCCATGGCGTGAAATGGGAGAAGTTGGTTGCGTTTGGAGTGCAAGGCTGGGAACTAGACGAAGCCGAGATCACAGGCCTAGTCCGGCGACACCCCAACATGAAAGGCCTGCGACTGCGAGATGTCCATCTCAAGGAGGGAAGTCTATGGAAGAACATCCTCAAATTCCTCCGATCAGACATGTTATCCCTGCAATGGGTCAGCTTGCGACGTATCGGATACGCGGAATACTACCATTCACAGCAATTCGCACAAGACCTTGGCACCGAGCTGCCAGATTTTCCTCTAGCAGATCTCGAGAGTAGCAGCGACGACGACACAGATGGAGAAGACAATAATAATCTCCCACCACCACCACCTGGACCAGCACACAACAATACAAACGACGACGACGACGACACGGATTCCAACGACTCGGAATATCCCGCGGACAGCGATGCAGATTCTGACGATGAACACGGCCCCGAAGCGCACGAGGTCGACTTTCCCGCTCTCAACTCACCGGATACCCCGGGCTCAGCTCCTTGGTGTACATGCCACGGAGGCGGAGGCAGACTGGAATCGGCGGATGAGTTGAATGATGATGGATTGCGGGTGGATAATAGTAAGAGAAAGTATTGGGAGAAGTGGGTGTTGAGGAGGTGTCCCGAGCATGGCGAGTGACTTACCTACCTACCTACCTCCCTCCCGGACTTTTGAGTCTGTAGTCATGATGCCTTCCATGGCGTGATTGATTACCTTGCCTCGCATGGTGATGACAACAATATTGTCGCGCTTGGGCGAATGGGCGGGCAGCACAATACGTAAAGAAAACGAATAGATGATGCGATGATCTCAAAAAATATGGAATGACCACGTTGACCATTTCTCTACTTTTTCTAGCGATTGGACCCTGTATTCTGGTCCTTTGATTTCAGTCTGATCGAACCTGATAGGTGTGTACGAGTGCCGAAGCCGCAGCCCACCACCACCTCTAGTCTATATCGCTTTCCAACCCGGCAATCCTCCAGTCCTTGTGTGCCTGTGTGCCTACCTTAGGTACCTTCTATAACCTCCAAATAACCTCCAAAGCACGCTGGAATCCCAAAGAAGGAAAAAAAAGAGCAGCCTTTAGAGTCAGTCCCTCAATCCTCACCATTCCCAGTCCACCTCAAACCTCTCCTCTCGCCCGCCGAAGTAACACAAATCGCCAAAAGAGCATGCATAGTATACACGGCATCATTCCCCGCATTATGCAAATTCCACGACTCCAAATCAAAATGCAGCAAAATTTTCCCCAAAGAGCTCGCTTGTGAATCTCCCGTGTAATGCTTGAAGAGAGGAATTGTATCCAATGTATCAATGAGATTGCGACGATTCCTAATTTCTACATTCATGGATTCGAAGTATTTGATGTCTTGTGATAGATCGTGGCCGACGATGATCAGGTTGCGATGTTCGGGCCAGAGGCTGGTTGGATTGTTGTTGTTGTTGGTGTTTGTTGTGGAAGAGGGATGGTTGGCGTTTTGACCACCGGAATAGGGTTCGCGGAAACAGCTGGAGAGGTGCGCTGCAGTGTTCTTTTTGGGAACAAATTCGCTTGTTCCGAATTCGAAGGCATCCGGGCATCCTTTGACCCATCGGCGGTTTTTGTATCTTTTGTACTCGGCAATGCGCAGGTGGCGGCCTCGAATGAATTTTTGCCACTCTCTTCCATTCTCGCCTGGTGCGATGCCCTTCAAGTCGCGAGTGTCCAGTGTGGCTACTCCGATCTCTGTGATCATGCGTGGGGGATGTTCGTAGGCTTCGACGTCGATTGCGATCAGGATCGGCTCTTGGTCGAAAGCGTGAGGCACTGGCTTCGTGTGGTCGAGGAGGGGCTCAGGCACGCCGGGCTGGACAGAGGCTGAGTCGGACGTTGGGTTCAAACCAAAGTACTGCATCGCGTTACTCGCGCTGTCGCCTTGCGTGACCGATGTCTCGGAATGCCTCTTTTTCCTGCTCGCCTTCTGCATTTCCGTGTTGAGGAGATATGCGACTTTGATTTTCGCCCTGACAGCCTCGATGCTGGGGTCTTCAGTGGTAGGCGCAGTTGGAAGCCTCACAAGGCGCTCGCAACTCAACTGATCTATCCAGGAAGCGTATTGGGATCGCGAGATGCACTGACCGAGAAAGCGCGGGCGCAGTGCCTTTGGAAGCTCGTCGAAGGTGAGAACGAAACCGTTCTCGCGCTGCCACTGGTCGATGGCAACGTTGGCGCGTTCAAATTTCGCGTTGATCTCGTCAAATAGAGACTGCACTTGCGAGGTTGGCACGAAGGTGAGGAGTCCGTACTCGTCGTCATAGATGTAATAGCTTCACATTGTCAGCGAATGAAAGCGTGCAGCGCGCAAGTGAAGATTCACATGTAGTGCAGTGAACAACTTACAGACTCCAGTTACGCGTGTAGATTTTGCCCGCGTCGAAGAAGGCAGTGGCAAGAGATTGCGACCACCTGTACGGCACGCACGTGTAGCAGTATTTGGTGACGGCGAAAAAGGGTGTCAACTCGACATTGCTCGGCAAATGCTCTCCCTTTCTTGCATCAAATGGTGCCTTTCTGTCGGAGCTGAAGGCGTTGGATGATGATGATGATGATGATGATGATGATGATGCCGACTCCTGCTTCACTTGGCTCAGTGCGGCTTCGATTTCACCCAATCGATACGTCGAGTTCGCATTGGGAAGATGCTGATTTTCATGCGAATCGTCGTCCGTGTGATGAAGAGGTGCTTCACGTGGCTGTGGTATGTCCACTTCTTCTTGTTTTCCGTTGGGTGTCGGTACTTTGGATGGAAGGGCATTTTCCCCACCGATCATGGTCACGAAGCGGTCCATACGACTGCTGGCCGCCATACTGTTCGATGGTGATGTTGCTGTCAAGGTGGTAGGAGTAGCAGTCTGGAATGATTGGGTACCTTAGTGTCGAACTGTTGGGGCGAGACTTGTATCTCACTCCCTTAAATATTCATAGGTGAAATGGTGGAGTTTTCCCGTCACAGCCGGTTCCATCTTTGTTTGTCACAATTGACAGGCGCGACTTGACCCGTTCCTCGCCATCCATGAATGTCTTTGCTCATATGAGTGCATCCGTTTCATCTCTCCCATAACTTACCGAATGTATGCTTCGACGTGGTATATGGTGTGTATCATCACTTTTGGGCTTGACATTACTGTACCGACACCATATCGGGAGCCTGAGGTTCCTGTCTGGAAACGGTACACGACATCGAGCCCACGTGATTGACATCACAAGGCTACGACAGTAATGTAGGTAGAGGCCCATCTAATACTCTGATATCATGAGAAAGAGAAAAGGGAGAAACAGGAGAAACAGGAGAAAAGTGGTGGTTCCGGAGAGTGAGACTTTCTTTGCCGGGCTTGCCGACCCAGTCTACCCAGTCCAATTCGGCCGAACAGGTTTCTCCGCTCCGATCGCCAAGCCACTTGAGTCCTCCTGTCTCCTCAGGTATGAACACGTTCCCGCCCACCCCCAATGGAGACACGACCGACGTGGTCGACAATAAAAGGGGTATGAAAATGAAGAGTAGCATATCTGAGACATCTTCCACCACGCTGGACGCCCCCAAGTCCACTTTGGACGACATGAAGCCGTCGGAAGCGCCCCCAGAGTCGGCCAGCATGATCTGGACCCGTCGTCTCATCCTTATGGCCTTCTGGGCGGTCGTAGTCCTGCTGGGCGTACCACATTGGAATTGGACGACTTCCATCCCTCGATCCTCACTTCCCCTTGACTCCATGAATGCGTGGGCTGATGGAAAGGTGAAATCTCCACTCCCTTCTCAGATGAAGCGAACCGACTACTGACCTTCCCAAGGCGTGCCAATTGCAATATCCGCTCCACGTTCAACTGCAGACATCCAGCATGCCATCGGGGCACGCAGAGGCTCTTGCTACTAATATCGAGACCGTCTTGAACGCCCAGCAAGGCCTGCCCCTGCATAGCTTTCGCGTCTCGACCACGAATCTCACATCACCGGACACTGCACTCACGGTCATCCTGGAGACTGCGCAGACTCCACGCGTGTCACTGAGGTCCTGGGAGCCGACACTCGACGTGAGTCTTGATCTCAGCCCGCCGGTCAATATAGGTGAAGTGGGTCCTTTCATCGCACAAGAAGTCTCTCGCGTGTTTGCCGACGAAAGTGCGTCTCTTGCCTACCTCGTCGCCGGCACGAGTTTCGCAAACAGTGATCAGCCCCTTCAACTGGATCCTGCAAAACAGAAAGCGTTGGACGGCCGTACCACAAGGGCTTTCAAGTACGCGTCGAATTATCACATCACCTTCTCGTTGTTCACACCCGCAGCCTCTCCATCCGCCTGGGCGATTGACGAGGCGATACAAGCGTATATTTCGCCACTCTTGCAATCACTATCGTCCATTAGCAGGTTTACGATCGAAACGCAAGTCCAACTCTATGCTTCCTTCAGTGCATCAATCGCTGGACCCACCTTTGATGATGCCAGGAACGCCTGGCTGTTGTCCCATGGAGATCTCACAGGATTCGTCAACGCCGCGGAATGGCCGCTGAACCCCAGTATCGGCGCCGGACCTACCATCAACTTTGTGTTGTACGTTCCTTCAATCGAGAAGAGCCCACTACTCATTGAAGGCGATAGTGGAACTAGCTGGATCATTCCGCAATGGGGAGGCGTACAAATCCACAATCCTGTTAGCGGAGTGGCCGATACTCTCTCGCTAGAAGACCTACAACCAGACATGATCACGTTTGCAGATCAACTTGCTGCATTGCTTGGTGTGCCTCAGTCGCCGCCATCCCTGTCACTGAAGATCTCTAGCCTGGCCAGAGAAAGAGCCACATCGCTGATACTGTCTGCATCTTCCACACTTGGCGCACTGTCAAGGCTCACTTTGAAACTGACATCCATTGCTATCCCAGACTCGGTAGCGACGTCAGTCGATGAAACCCTTCATCGCCTGGACCTGGCATGCAGCGACCTGCGCAGTGGACGCTTCCAGAGCGCTCTGGCCAATGCTCGTATTGCCGAAAACGAGGTTGAACAAGCCTTCTTTGAGCCTTCCATGGTCGGCCAGGTCTATTTCCCTGAGGAGCACAAGGTTGCAGTCTATGTGCCTTTACTCGGTCCTATGGCAGTGCCTCTTATCCTGTCTGGTCTGAAAGAACTACGCGCATTCCGCAATAGAAAACGCAAGACTGCTTGAAAGTCGCAAATCACGGCGTGCACCAATTCAATCGTTCATATATGTACGTTTGGCGAAGGGTGCCAATCACTCTTCCAAAAGTACGCCCTGGCATCTCTAGATCTTGGGAAAGCGGCCTTCACAAATCATAACTTGCCAGACGGAGTCATCTCGACCTCAGCCCGCCTGCGCCTTGATGCGCCGTTGCCATCGGCAATCATGCTACTGATCTTTTCCAGTATGCGAATGCTGGTCCTCTAGAGGACATTACGGCAAACCACGGCATCAATCACGTGGACTTATTTTGCCTAACTGCCATGGGCCCTCCTTTCAGAACGAGACCGCACCTAACTCAACATCCGCCATCATTCTCGCATCTTTCTTGGTCCGGGCTAGGCGCTGGCGCTGTTGATATCAAGCGCCTCAGAGTCGGGCTTGTTAGGGAAGGCAAGACTACTATGATTAATACGAGTGATTTGAAACATCTACACTGGACTCCTTATCAGCAGTTCAAGCGCCACGCTGCTTCAGGTTGTGACAAGCAGACTGCAGATCTAATCGGTATTGGAACGATGTCGGGCTCTGGACGCAACGATCAAGGTGAAAATGCTAGAGTTGGATCGTCACTATGAAGCCAAAAGAATGAAATCTAACGTGATCTCTCTCTCTCTCTCTCTCTCTCTCTCTCTCTCTCTCTCTCTCTCTTTATAACAAAACCTTTCTCCCCCGTTTTCCTTGGAATCCTTTTCGATCACACAAGTTCTTCTTCCACCAACCTACCTACCTACCTATTCTATAGTACTTGCGCCAAGGTGGCATATAGCATATATCCAGCGTATGAGGAACACATACCAAAACAACCCCGCCACTAATTCGAACAACCTCCCAATCGTGTCTCGCGTCCTCGATGCAAGAATCCATTGATGATACGACGTGGTAAGAAAGAATGAGATAAGAAGATGAATTGGCTCAAGGATCTTTCAGACCAAACAAAGGATAGAGCTGTCTGTCCTGCTCCAATTGAACGAGAATCTGGCTTCAAATTACAGCGCTACCTAATCTAGGTACCTACGAAAGACGTTGGTGCTTCTCCGCTGTGCCTTGCTGGGTGGAGACAACGCGGAAGCGAGGTTGCGTCTCCTCGGCGTCCGGGTCTGGTCGAGATACTAGGACACTATCCTCATCTTCCAGATTGCTGGACGCACGAGAAGCGGAAGCACTTCTGACGCTGGTGACTGCCTCCGGGGCTGCACCACGTTTGCATCGCGATATTTCAAAGAAGAATATGCTGTCTGGGTCTGTCTCTGCTCTGTCGGTAGGTTTCGGGTTGTTGGACTCACTGTCATCACTTCCCTTCTTCGTCTCACTCGTCTCTTCTTTTTCCGAGCTTCCAAATATATCAGCCCAAAGATCAGCGAAAAGACCCTTCGACTCTGTGGTCGTCTCGCCCTCCTTCTCGTCGTCGTCTTCAGCTTCACCAGTGATCGCTTCGCTGAAGTTCCACATCTCTTTGAGCTCGCCTCGGATGAGCCCAGTGGCCCAGGTACTGATTAGTACGCCTGGGACGAGATAGAGCAGTGCTGGCTGAACGTGCCGAAAGATTGACATGAAGACTAGTGTTGCAATCATACCAATCACATACCCAATCATCGATGCCGAGAAGTAGGGCTTGTTGAAGCTGGTCGACAAGGCAGCAGGTAGGTCCAAATGAGAACTTCCTCTTATCCACAATTTATCGCCCCACTTGCCACTGACAGTCACATATGGCGCCTTTTCGACCTCAGTCTTGAGCGTGCACACGTCTCCATCGCAGACCTGTTTCTGAGTCTGTTTTTGCTTTCGCAGATAGTGCATGTAGAGATCGAAGCGTAGACACAGACCAATCATGAGACCAGGCAGCACAATATCGCCCAGACCAAGCATGCTGTAAGCTCGTTGCTCTCCAGGCGCTGCGGAAGGGTCTTGTGGCCGAGGAAAGACCAGCTTGATCGGTACATCCAGGTTTGTAGCCACAGTGACCATGAGGGGTGTAAAGAAGACTGCCCAGATGTCATAAAAGAAGAGACCTGATAATATCAGAGATCCAGTGGCGAATGTGGTGGGTGACATCAGCTGCAATGCACCATAACAGACACCGAACCCTTGCAGATTTGTGAGCCACCAAGGCTTGTCAACAAGGAGACTGTAGATGATGGCTGAAATGCCGAGGATACCGGATGCGGCGTTGAGACGCGTGGCAACGATCTTGAACTCGAAGACGTGCTTTGCAAAGCCCTTGACTTGATATCGCTGCTTGACTACATCTCGTAGCCGCCAAGCGAAGCTCAGCAGAGGAGCCGGAAGTGGGAGCCGGCCCAAAGGCCCAGCAAAGGGTGTGGTTCTGGTTGCAGACTCGCTGCCCAGTGCGACTGCTCTACGCATGTGGTGTTGCACTTTCCATATCTTGCCTTGATCGCTGTAGTACCTGGGCATGATCAAACTTGCCATGGTGATCCACGAGTCGTTGATGAGCTTCGCCACGCTGTAAGTGCCAATCAGGCTGAAATACAGGCCAAGCACTGTGTTGATAATGCCAGCACCATACGTCTTGATCAGCCAATATAGACCAGCGAGCACAGTGCCAGCCATCAGCGGGAATATCAGGGCGTCTCTGGGAGTCAGGCCCTCAACCTGTTGGATTGTCTCTTCTTCTTCTTCATCCTCTCCATCTTCGTCGTTGTCGCCCTCTTCCTTCTCTTTCTCCTTCTTCTTCTCCGGCTTGGCTGCTGACGAGGGTCTCGAGAGGGAAGCGTGTGCGCCAGTGTAGATGGGAAAGAGGGCTGCGAGCAGCAGGTGGAGGTACATGGGCCACAGATGCCGATTCTGCTGCCAGTGGTGGGCCGCTGCCGTGAGCAGCTCGTTCATGTCCAGGGCCATGGTGGATGTGGGAGTGCGATTCGGGGTGGGAAAATGCTATTCTGTGGTCATTGTTGTCGCGGTGTTGTGCTCATGCTGAAGATGGCACCAAATACGCAGCGGGCAGCCAGTTGTTCACTCCGGTAAGGTCGGAGGTAGGTAGGAGGTACGGTACGGTACGCGCTGAGAAGGGTGTTCACGGGTCGGTGTACCATGAAGGAAGCTTTGGAGGCCACATTCCCTCAACTTTCACGCGTTTTCTTTCATATGAATGCCGGCAGGGATGAGCCTGGTACAACTACACCCCCTGGCAGAGAAGTCTCTTCATCTGGACCTCTGCACATACATACGTTGGATTTATGGTATAGCAGTGCGATCTAACGCTTCAGAAGACAGAGCGCAACGAGGCGAGTGATGGCCATGGATGACGGATAATGGATGATGGATGATGGATGATGGAGCAGATGACGATGCAGATCAAGACCACCAAACTCTTCTCATCACCGCAAGAAGGCCTTCAAGAACGCCGACACGGAATGCACCAACATGGTTCATCCATACAGCTACTACCTACTTTGCCTACCTATATGTAGCAGCGCATGATCGACGGCCTGCGCCTCGTGTGTCGGTCCCTCGTGAAAGCGAAAGCCAGGCTGCTCAGATGGGCAATGGTGCCGACAATCTCACTCCCATCTTGCTTGAGCCTGGACAGAGCAAGGCAGTGTTGTCTGTTCATCATTGCCGGCTTGTCGACGAGAGCCTCTTTGCTTTTTTCGCGACCGTCCACGTTATATCTGACCATCCCGATGCGGCATAGAGTCTCGTATTGACGTCGCTCTCATCACCATCACACTGGTACCACCGAGCCAACAGGTTATTTCATAGCGCGCTTGTAGGCAACAATAAGCTCTTGTTTCTGCAACTCCCGAAGCTTTGCGAAGCATTGCGAAGCATTGATGATCTGCTGGATGATCTGCTTGGTCTAAGCCAGGACGTACATGTATATTGCTGCCATTCGCGCTTGTTTCATTCTGTCCATTACCCTCGGTAAGCTCGCTGCAACATGTGGTCGGTATATGCACTCTCTCTTCTCGTGCTGCCTTCCTATAGCGCGATGGTACACGAATGCCTATCAGGCCTTCCACATGGCTGGAGCGTTTCTGACAGCACAGTGTACAATAACACACTAATGCACCTTAGCGTATCGTTGTAAGTGTACGATTCTCAGGGAGTGTTCAGTATAATCAGACTAAGACAATACACACGGAACAGAAAGTACCAAAATCTCAATAAGCTAGAGTCTCAGCTTGCGTTGGTTTCTACGCCAGGTAGCCCCAAGTATGGCCAATATCAGGACTTGGACAGCCAGAATGCCATGTTTGCACCATCTACAGACGCGGCAAACAAAGTCAAGTCGTGGCTTAGCAAATCGGGCGCCACAAACATAGTCAGTGATGGTGTAACGGTCAGATTCGACTCGTCGGTGGCCAAGGCCAACCAGATGATGAGTGCTGCATTCAAGCTGTACACGGACGGGCAGACAACCAAGCTGCGAACGATGGTGAGTCCGCAAGGCCCTCCGTCTGACCAAGTGTTGACTAACAGTCCACAGTCCTACTCAGTGCCTGAGGATCTCGCTCAATATATCGATATTATCTCCCCGACTACGTACTTTGGAGAGATGAAAGCTCAAGCAGTTCTACCGCGAGAAGAGGAAATTCCCACCCTGACTACTCGCGACAAGCCGAGCCAGCCCCAGCTCAATCCAGCTTGCACTACCACGTATGTCTCGAAGAGAACAGGCCGGCATTACGACCTCCTTACACCGCAGTGTCTGAGCGAGTTGTACAACACTGGAGGCTACAAGGTGGACCCAAAATCCGGAAGCAGTATTGCTTTTGCCAATTTCGTGAATCAGACACCAAGCTACAGCGATCTTGACCTGTTCGAAAAAGCATTCAATATTCCCGAGCAAAACTTCACTGTACTTGCGCTGTTGAATGGAGCAGTCAACGATCAAAATCCTCTGACAGAAATGGATGGCGAAGCCAATCTGGACGTGCAGAACATCGTTGGACTCGTCGATGGCTTGCCCATCTACACTTATATCACAGGAGGTATGTGGACCACCAAGCTATCACTTTCTGAGCTGTGAATTAACCGGACCAGGCATTGCTCCTGCCATCCCTGATCTCCAGAGTCCGAACGCCTCCCTGGATACCAACGAGCCATTTGCGGAGTATTATCAATACCTGCTGTCACAACCGAACTCCAAGTTGCCGTACATATTCTCTCAGAGCTATGGAGACCACGAGAACACGGTAGGTAAGCCTAATAAGAACATGTCGCGCACTCATGAGTCAGTCGTATTTCTGACCCATCGATCAGGTCCCGCCGAAATATGCTGCCCGAGTCTGCAACATGATCGGTATGCTCGGTCTTCGCGGTCGAACAGTCCTTGCCAGTTCCGGCGACCAAGGCACCGGAGTAATCTGCCGCGCCAATCTCCCTCCTGGAAATGTGATTGAAGGCGCGCCCCAATTCGAACCACGATTTCCAACAACCTGTCCCTACGTAACCGGAGTAGGTGGCACACAATCCTTCAACAACGAAATCGCCTGGAATGCCACCGGAGGAGGCTTCAGCAAGTACTTCAAAACCGCATGGTATCAAAAATCCGCCATCAATACCTACCTCTCGAAACACATTAGTCCCGCTACGAAAACCTACTACAGCTCGAACAACTTCGTAGATTTCCACGGACGTGCTATTCCAGATATTGCTGCACACAGTCTCTATCCCGACTACGCAACCTTCATCAACGGCTCTATCGCTCCAAACGGAGGTACCTCCGCCGCCACTCCCGTAGTAGCATCCATCATCGCCCTCCTCAACGACGCCCGTCTACGCGCCGGACTGCCCGCAATGGGATTTCTCAATCCGTGGCTCTATGGTGCCGCAGCTGATACACTCAACGATATCACCGAAGGGAGTGCTGTGGGATGCAATGGAATTGATATACAAAATGGAAATCCACTTCCCGGGGCGGCGATTATTCCTTTTGCAAGTTGGAATGCTACGGAAGGTTGGGATCCTACGACGGGAATTGGCACGCCGGATTTTTGGAAGATGAAGAGTCGTGCGTTGGAGACTTGTGCTTGGGGGAATGTGCCGAGTGAAATTTGGAGGTTTCCGCCTGTTGGAGGGTGGAGTTGGAAGAATTGAGGGGAGTGGAACTGAGCTGAAGCCTGGGTAATTTAGCATAGGTAGACAGACTAGAAACCAGTTCGCTTGCGATTTTTGTTTTCCGCACTCTCCCTCTTGTGAATCTGATTTCCAATCTGCCTCTCATGCACACAACACAATCAGACCTAAACAAAAGTCGCTATTGACACCTCTCACGCCATACATGGAGTTTCTCCATCCCCTTCCTTTCCCGCGTCCCACATCAAGAAGCCCTCGTCCACCCCCGGGCACAGCTAAAGTGCGCAACGAATCCCCTTCACGCGTGCTCGTGGTGACCAGTAAATAGCAACAGCAAAACCAGCGCCACTCCCTTTGGCAAGGTAAGGTAAGGTAAGGTAAGGTAGGTATTAATACAAACCACTACACGAGTTTCGCACGTGTTTCGAAAAACGTCAAGAACCTTCAGTAGTCGTCGTCAAAGTCCTCGTATCCCAAGATTCGACATGTTCAACAGGCTGCGGCAGTACCACTACACCGCTATCTGCGCCAATGGAATGATGTTTGCCAAACATGGCTCGCACTCGTCTCAGTTCTTCGCCTTTGGGCTCCCAGATTAATTGTTCTTGGAATAGCTTGGGGAGCTGGAGTCCGGTTCTGCGACACATGCCTAGGTAGAAAGAAGAAAAGGTGAGTAAGTATGCATGGGAACTGTCTCTCTTAAGTCTTGAAAAGTGCATTCAAAAATTCTTTCTTTCGGCCTTCTGGGATTACGCACAGACGTGTGGATTGGATTCGAAAAGTTGACGAGGTTAGAAGGTAGGTACATATGAGGTTTTTCTTTTTCACTTACGGTAGTACTCGGTTAAGAGAAAAGGTTGGGCAATAGTTGGCATGGGATCTCGCCATTTCCAAATCACATCTCTTGTGAAGATTAATCGTTTCATATGTCTCAGCCAGACTCGAGTGGTGGCGTCTTTATGTTGCCACATCAGCATGCCGGCAGCAACTTGGGCGTGAGATTCTCGTCCTGATCTCTTCTTTGGCGGTCGTATGGGACGTTCAATGAGTTCTTTGGGCAAGGACCCTGTGATGGCTTCGGCTAGTGAGGGTGTGTTTGTCCAAAGATGTAGACCGGATGTTGCTCGTGGATTACATTCGATGGCGTAGAGGCCTTTGGAGGTTTCGATGAAGTCGAAGGCGATTTGTCCACTGAATTTGGGACCTCCTGTGACAAATCCGTAGATGTAATCGTAGATTCCAGGGTGGAAGGTCTGTCGAAAGAAGACACTGCTGCTGCCATCGAGTGTGTCCAATACAGGGTAGCAACTCGTTGCCTCGATCCTGCCTTCTCGCACGATGCTGTAGCTGCAATATCGTTTGCCCTCGAGCCACTCTTGTGCTACATACCAGTTGTCCTCGTCGATTTGGAGATCAGTCGGTATAGGTGCGCCAGGCTTGAGATGGTACAAACCCGAACACGCTCGACCAAAACATGGCTTGAGTGCGATTCCATCAGGAAACTCTTCCACGGGGAATTGCATCACATCATGCAGACTTTTGCAAAGCCACGCTCGAGGTACCGCAAGGCCGAGCTGTTCCATGTAGTTTGTAAATTCATGCTTGTTGTGTAGTCTCACGAGCAGATCGAACGACGGGGCGAAGAGACGATCCAACACCTCCGGCTCCTTGGAATCAGCCAAGCAAAAAATCTCCTCGTGTATCGGAATGATGATGTCAATGTGCCATCGTGCTACGAGGAGCTTAACAGCTTGAATGTAGCCAGTGGCATTCTTGTGTGGTGCCGGCACTTGAGCACTCTGTTTGACCGCTTTCGAAAATGTGCAGATGTGTGTGCCCATAGGATCGATACAGTAGACTGTATGGCCAGCGAGACGGAACTGTCGAGCGAGATCAAGTGAGACGGGGAAGCGTCCATTGGTGAGGAGGATATTCAATTTGTGGTCATCTTGTCCTTGCGAGGCACTCGGCTTCGTGGCAGACATGGTGTCAAGTGTCTACGCTACCTAGCTCTCCGATCGGTGTGCGTAAGACAAACTTGCCTGGTGAGGGTATTCTGGCTGCAATATGTAAGGTAGCGTGGGAATGTAAGTGAATGACATGGCGTAGTCCTTATTCCTATACCGGCTCTCGGGACGATGGCGTATATTGGCACTCGCAATTTGAGCATCTGACACTCCATGATGATGTGAATTTCTTATGTGCGTAGCCTTATGATCAGTGAATGGTCGCAGAGACAAGGTCTTCCGAAGAATCGCGAGCCGGGTTCCAGCGGACAAATGTGCCAAGATCTCACTCTCACTATTCGGAAGCTTAGTTTCCCGTGCACAAGCGAGGTTTGCGAACCTCACGTCGTCTCTTGTTCTCGTATACACTCGGCCCCGGGAATCTATTCACCGTCGACCATGATAATAATAATGAATTGCTGCTCAGTCATAGCTTACTGTCCATCCTTCCACGAGACCTGTTGCCCGAACTGCCTGTCCCCGCCCTCGACCGTGAGCGTGTATGATTAGAAGACTTGTACGATGATCCTTCGATTGAGACAGAACCTCGAATGGATAAGAAAATAGCCACTGCTGCTTGTATATGTGCAGATGAGGTTTCGCAAGCTTTTGGGCTTGAGGTGAAGAGATGGAAGAGGCTGCACCGATGTAGCCCATACGAACATGAGCGCATCCTCATGGTACGCTGGCAGAGGCGATGCGCGAGGAATGAGCATAAATCCTATGAGACGTAGTGTCATAGCCCGATGAGCTGGACATATCTGTGATCGCTGTACTGCGGTGAGGCATCATAGCTAAGATCCTGAGATCCTGACATTCTGCCTGGGTCGTCCCCTGGGTCGAGCGAGAGAGCTCGAAAGGCATTGGCAAGAGCAAATCTTGAGATAATGTACGATTTCTTTGTAAGTTGCGCAGCGCGGCATATACTGTATGCAGCAGAAGGTGTTAGTTTCGTCTAAACTTCCGTGGTAGCGGAACTTCTCCCTGCGCTGCTACAGGCCGAATTGCTTGCTCGGATATTCACTTGCGGCCCCTGTCTGTGGGCACATGGCGCGAGGCGCCTGAAGGTTGGATGGCTCGATGTCCAGTTCGTGGATTGAAGCTCGCTCGCCTGTGGTGCGTCTCGCGTGCTTTTGTGGACCATTGTTGACCAGCCAACAGAAGCGAAGACAGGCAGAGTCTGTACACAACGAAGAGAGGCCGCAAGTGTACCAGTACAAGCTGCTCAATACCTGCAGGTGGGAATGCTCGGTGTCTCGAGGCACAGAAGTCGTGTAGCGGCAAAGGCGAGCTACTGGGTGCCTGATTGCTTCAATCTTGAATCCTCAAACCTGATTCCCAAAACCTCACTTTCCCGCCAAGACCGGCCCGCTGTGCCGGACCCTCTCGCACTATATTATGAGTCTTCCTTCTGTTTTGACTCTCTCTCTTACAACAACCACCGCGTCTCGTCACAACCAGACACGCACACACCCACCATCCGCTCCCAGTACCCGTTCGTCTACAAAACCAATTCTTTTTTTCCAGCGGCGCTTCTGCGTCTCCTGACAAAAGAAAACGACGACCAGCACACTGTGCGAGCACCAACCCCCCTTCTTTCTCTGTCTTTTTCCATCCTCCCTTCTGTCTCTGTCTTCGTCTCTGTTTCACAAACCAAAAAACAAGAACGACGACCAGCAGAATTCGCGAGCATCACCACCAACCCCCTTCTCTCTCTGTCTCGGTCTCTGTCGCTGTCTCGGACACCATCAGACCAGACCACAGTACCGGTTCGTCCGCAAAACCAATTCTTTGTTCGGCGGCGCTTCTGCGTCCTGAAAAAAAAAAAGAATACGACGACCGGCCCGCCTCGCAAGCACCACCAGACACCCTTCTGTCTCTGTTGAGCAGAACTTCTCCTGACAAAACACCATACACCGCGCAAAGGGTGGCAAGATGAGCCGTCCTCCCCTGGGGCAGACCCTCTTCGAGTTTGGTTGCACTTGTGTGCTCTCCGCCATCGCCAACGTCCTCATCAACAAGAATGACGAGAGAATCCGGCAAGAACGGGAGGCAGAGGAGGCAGCCGTCATCGAGCACGAACAGCTGCAGATTGCGTTCGCGAAGAAGGAGTCGGAGCTCCGACTCCAGAAGCAGCGCGCGGCTGAGTCGTACCAACGGCTCGCCGATGAGCTTGAGATTTCGAGACAATCGTTTCTCAACGCCACCACCGCCACCACCGCCGCAGCGCCGGCTCACAACATCACCCTCGGGGCAGGGACAGGATCCCTGACCCCACCACCATTCGCCCTGGTCGTCGCCGCCGGCCTGCTCGCCCTCGCTCTTCTCCTCTCGCTCTGCCTCCCCCTCTCGCTCTGCCTCCCCCTCCGCCACATGCGCAAGGGCCACGGTCGCCATCGCGCGGCCGCAACCCACAAGCCCAAGAAGTCGCGAGCAGAGGCCGGGCGTGCCAGCGAACTGGCAGCCCTCACCAACGATGCCACCCTATCTGGGTGGCAGTACGTTGAAAGCCTCTTTCGCCTGGACACCCTCGCTGCCGCCTTCTCCTCCGCAGAGCTCGAAATCACCACGTTGCGCACGCAGAGATCAGAAGCCGATCTCGAGCACGCCGTGGCTCTCGCAGCTCTGCAACCTCGCCTGGACACCCTCGCTGCCTCCCTCGCCTCCGCAGAGCTCGAGAAGACCACATTGCGCACGCAGAGATCAGAAGCTGATCTCGAGCACGCCGTGGCTCTGAAAGCTCTGCAAACTCGCCTCGAAGAAGCCACTGCGTCCCTCGTCTCGAAAGACCTCCAGCTCGCCACGCACCTCAAGACAAAAGAGGCCGCAGCGAGCCGCGAGCAAGTCCAGAAAGACGAGGCGGCAAAGCTTCGAGCGGCGAGGAACGCAATTTCCTCTCTGAAGGCAGACCATTTGCCTTCAATCCGGACGCTGGCCAACGCCCTGAAAGCAGCTCCAATGACCACCGGCGACCCCAAATTCAGCTCGGGGCTTGAACACCTCGACGCTGTCCTCGATTGCCTGGAGCGCAACTCCAATGGCATCGTGCCTGCTCACCGAGCAGAAGCACAAGTCGAGGCCATGCTGGGGGTCATTTCTGGCGGGAGGTTTCACTTCCCGCAGGAGTATGCTGACAGGGCACGCCTGTTGCTGGATGACTTTCGCGCGCGCAACTGGGGTGAGACGAGCCGTCCGGCGGCCGTCGAACCTCAGCGGGACACCACCACGCCGCCGGAAGAGAGGAAAGAGCAGGAGGCTGAGGTGAAGCAGGAGGAGAAGAAGAAAGAGGCGGAGAAGAGTGAAGATGAGGAGGAGGATGAGGAGAAGCAGGATGGAGAGGGAGAGAAGGGTGGCAAGAAGAAGAAGCGACGCCAACCCAGAAAGTACGGCGAGGATTGGCGGCTGAGAAGCCTGAAGGCTCTCCCGTTCTTCTCGTCGTCGGAGGTCTAGATTGAGTTGGCAGATGGTGTGAGAGATGGCACTCTAACCTTAGAACCTGACGCAATGTTCACGGAGCGAAAAGAAAAAAAAAGATGATGAAGAAGAAGACGTTTGATACCCACTTCTCGTAGCAATACGAGATGCAGGGCGTCGCGTCGGACTCTTCTCACTTTTTCTCTTTTTGCATCCGTTCGAACTTGCCGATGGAACTTTGTGCGATGGAGACAGCGTTTGTGCATGAGTGACTTGATTACCACCGGCATGGCTTTTCGAAGCTGTGTTGGCAGGATATCGTCCAATGCATGAATGTCTGGCCAATACTCGAACATCATCTACTGAGGGCTCAATCATCCTCCACTGGGTCTGGCTTTTGCAATTCTTTCTTGTTGTTCTTGCTCTTGCTCTTGCTCTTGTTGTTCTTGCTCTTGTTTTTGAAAAGTTTATGATACCCGTACTGGTTTTTGTCTGCGTGTTTGATTGTTTGTTTTCTCCTTTGTAACCAGTACACAAGTAGCGTTGGATGGACTTTAAGACGCAATGGCAAATGACTTTTATTGCCTGATTATACTATCTCTCTCTCTCTCTCTCTCTCTCTTCTCATCGTGACATTCATCATCCATGATTCCCCTACACCATCCATCAAACCGCAACACACACTTCTCAACTTCGAAACCCAAGTCCGCCTGACTGACTGACTGTCCTTGTTCCTTGTCCCTTGTCCCTTGTCCTAAGCACTATCTTGGCGAACATGAGTAATAATAAAAAATGAATGGAAAGTGAAAAGGAAAAGAAGGAAAAACAAAAGGAAAAAAAAAACAAAAGTAGTTCCTCCAGACAAAACCTCCTATAATTCCCTTGTAGGTAAGGTAGTAGTAAATGCGACTATGCAACGTGACATGATAAGAAATAATATAATTAGGTCTCTCAATAACAACAACAGCCAGCCAGCAAGTAAGCAAGCAAGCAAGCACCCTTTGTACATGTACAATAGACAGACAGATAGACAGATGGATAGATGAGCTGATTGATTGATAATGTAGTAAGTACAATAGTACCTAGGAAGGAGTAGTAGGAGGTAGTAGTACCTTGAGTAAGTTATACACCTAATATACATATCTTGACATCTGCTTGCCTGCTTGCTTGCCTTTCCCTTCCTTTCCTCTCCTCTCCTTTCCTCTCCTCTCCTCTCCTCCCCTTCCATCTGCAAAGAGACAGAACACAAACAACTTGTCCAATAGTCTTCTCTTTCCCCAAACCATTTCCTTCGCCTCAAGACTGACTATGTTACATAGCCCTCCCAATAACGACAGACTCCCCACGACTCTATCTTGCCCTCTCTTGACGCAGGAAATTTTGTGCGTGGAGTTGTTCGCGGCAGAAATGATTGTTTTGCCTTGCCGATCGACATCATCATCATCATCACCATCATCGGAGACATGGTATGATGGGATTGAATATCCTTGCCTGTAGTTGCTTGTCTTTTTTGTCCTGAAAGTACCAAGTACATATACCTCAGCGATGAAAAGATCGGATTGGTTGATGGTCGTACGTACTAGGTACTCCCGCTGTGTAAGGTAAGGTAGGATTGATTTCGGTCGAGAAACCATCATCATCATCATCTCCATCCACCACTCAACCATTTTGATTCTTCTTCTTCTTCTGATAAGGATAGTCCTGATCATTCAAATGCAAAATAAACTCTTCAAAAGTAATTCCTCGGATTCTTTTGCGGGGAGAAGAAGAAGTCTCCTCGTCGTCTGAAGGGATGTGAATTTGGGGTTCGAATGCGACTGTTGACCAAGTTCGCATCAGTTTTCTCCAGTAGCAAGCTGTTGCGGCAGGAGTGGTGTATCGTTGTCTGAAAGTTTCTTTGGCTCGGTCGGCGATTTGTTGGGCTTCGTCGAGGTGGTGCTCGTAGTATTGGATTTTGGCCTCGAGGTCGTGGAAGTCGCGAGCTACGGAAATGCAATTGTGGCCTGTGTCGAGTAGGTGGTAGTAGTGCGCTACCCATTCTACGTCATGAACGAACATTAGACTGTCGCAGTTGAAGAGATGTGTCATTCGGGCAGACCAGGCCCGTCCTTCGGTATTGACAGTGTAGCGATATTTGCAGAATTCATCCATTGGAATCACCGTGGCAAGGTTCTCCCAGCTCATTTCCTGTAAGCACAAGGGTTCATTAGCAGAGGAGACTTCAAGCAAAGCTTCGTTTCTCGTTCTCACCGATACGTTTGCCCATTCTTTTCCAGCTGTCACATCCAGTAAAGACTGTCGCACGGGCTTGTTCGTCCACGTTGCTCCACGCCATACCACCTGCGGCAGCTTCTGCTCGAGAGATGAGTCGTGTGTCCTAAACTTCGCCTGCATGGTCCGAAAGCCTTCGGCTTCGGGCGGCGCTGCAAAGAAATGGAAGTCTGGAATCAACCACAGATTGTCATGGACAGCATCTGCATCCCTTCGAGTGAACGACCATAACGCTCCAGGCTTCTTCTGATCGAGAACAGCGATGTCATCGACCACAACGCTAAACTCAATGTTTGGAATCGCTTCACCTGAAGCATCTGCAGCAGCGACAGCTTGCACGACTTGCTGCACGATGGCGATGATTCGATGACGGAAGTCCTCTCTGAACAGCCCTCGGGTCAAAATAATGCGGACTTGCGAGTCGACGATCAAGATTCTCACGCCTCCATCATTGCCAGTACCCTCACGAAATAAGTCGATATCGTCCTCGGTGATGTTGGCCGCACCAAAACGCTGCTGGGCCCGTTCAATTTCATGGTACAGCAGTGGGAAAGCAGCGTCGCATTGGCTGGCGGCCAGATACTGATTGTTCCCATCTCGTTGCCAATCATACTGCCATGGAGTTCCTGACTTTGAGAGCGAATCCAGTATCGGCTGTGCTGCTGTGGATTTGGAGTGAATCTCAATCACCGGATCAGAAGGTATCGCAAAGGCTGATGGCGTTGGAGCGCGGACCTCTCGATGGCTGTATTCTCTCGAGACCAAGAGGAGAAGCAGTATGGCGCAAGTGAATTGCCAGACTCCAGGCTGTACGGACCACCGACTCAAGTGCTGTCCAAGCGGTGGGGAGTTGTAGGTCCACATGGTTGTCCGCTGAGAGCGAGGGGTGACAGGCGCACAGGCGCGATGAGCGGCAGTGAGGTGAGCATCGATGATCGAGAGGAGACAGGAGCAGTGCGAGGAATAGAGGGCTTGTAAAGATGTGTGGGAGTTCGATAGATCGACGTCGAGGTCAACTTACTTAGCGCCGGTTACATGCTGGACTCGTACTTGACGGCGTTTCCCAATAATGCCTGTCCTGACTGGCGTTGAAGATGACATTGTGCTACACGGGAAGAAATCTCGGAGCTCCTGCAATGAGCCGGTCGCGGACCACAGCATCTGTTTGTGGGCATCAGAGCAAACAATCTTGTCCGCGTCGTGTTCTGTTGATGAAGCCGAACCTCCCAAACGGGCTTTTGTGTCTTTCGCGGCAGCGAAGGTCGTCGAACAGAAACAAGAAGACGTGCATCCCGGATTCTCGGTTACGCCAGACTAAACACACAAGCCTTTTTCTATGGACCAGGGTGGCGATCCTGGTTCGCTATCAAATTTGCCCTGGTGAAGCCGGAATAGCGAATTGAGACAGTGAGAGATTGATTGATGACACGAGGCCGCCGATCCACCCGCTGCGATAATAGCCTAATAGGCAGAACACATAGCTATGATTGATCCTTCGTACTTTGCGCCGTAGCATTCGCAACGTATTCCTTCCAAAACCTCGAAATCGCGTCTTCATAGAACGTTTTATGCAAAGGGATTTCCCACTTGGCGGGATTCTGCTGCAATTCATCCAACCATCTCGTCATGTGCGTCAATCTCTTCTCCGCCAAACCGGCAAAATGCACCAAAGCAGCACCCGGCTGGCCCTCGAAACCATGCTCAAACTCATACGCGTTGAACCATATGCGAGGCATCCACACAATACCAGATGGACCAGTCGTATTCGCTGCTGCTGCTGTTTCAATCGACTGAATCACATGTGCCATAGCAGCTTGTTCACCAAACCACCCTAGGTCCTCCGCCGGATGCGCGAGCGGGTACGCCAGCGTCTGCGTGAGAAGATCGACAGAATCAGAATGTACTCGAAGATAAAACACTCCCGAATTGAGCCCATTGTGATCCGCTGTCACGAGCGCGTAGACACCTTGCACATCATCCGGAGGCAAGAAAATCTCGGGAGAGAGCGCGGGATTTAAGACGATGGAGTCGGCGTCTACCCACATGAGCCATTGTTGCCTGTGCTCGACGGGTTTAGACAGTTCTTGTAGCATAGTGGATAGGAGGAAGTAGTGTTTGCTGTAGAGTTTCCGCGTGGTGACGTCGTACTCGAGTTTGGCGAAGGGGCAGCCGAAACGCTCACTGTGTCGTTGGTGAGAGAGGAGAGCGGCGTCAAGTTGTGGAACTTTGTGCGCGCCGTAGAGCATTGATACCTTTGTCACGCTGCATTTTGGACGAGCTGGGAGGGAGCGTTCAGACTCCGGTGAGGTTGGATGAGCCGAGAAGCTGTAGTTGGTATTGCGGCTCCGAAACTTGATGAAAAACAGCAGTAGGAAGAGAATGATACATGCAGCAGAAACAGGGGCTCGCCTGCAGTTTTGCCTGACAAAGGGTCAGCGGCGGATCGAAATATCATGTTGGAAGTCAGTGATTACCACTTTACGGGCATAGAGGTATACTACCTAGTGATGTCGTGTGTAACTAACAAGCTTGCAAGATGAGTTCGGAGAAGATCAGATCGTCTATGCCGAGTCCCTCCGGTATTAATCGGGCCTGCTTCCGAGCAGCCCCGCAGCAGCCGAGTATGACTTATAACATCTCTAAAAATGCTTAGAACACTGTGATTTCTCGTCTGCCACATTCTACAAGCGCTGTTCAACATGCTCATCGTCAAACCGTACTACCCAGAGGGCGTTTCCCGCATACTTGCCACCGGTGGCACCAACTACATCGGTTTCGTTGATGACAACACTGTGCTCAAATACCCTCACGATCCCAAAAATCTTTCTCAACTGGAGTGCGAAGAGAAGATCTATACTCATCTTGGCCCTAATCCTCGCATACTGGAGTACAAGGGCAAAACTGAGCAGGGCATTCTGCTGCAGCTTGCAACTAATGGTTCGCTCGCCAAATATCTCCAGCAAGACTCTTTGGTTTCTGCAACGACTAGGCAGAAGTGGGCCTTACAAACAGCTGAAGCTGTGGCCTATATCTACAAACAGCACGTTCTCCACTGCGACTTGAACGCTACAAACCTTCTGCTGGACAACGACCTCAATATTCTTCTCTGCGACTTTCAGGGACGCGTTCTAGGCCTAGATGGTAGCGTCCAAGTTGACGGCGGAGTATGCGAGAACGCGAAATCACGTATGCCCGGCAAAGCAGATGACGAGGCTAGTATAGAAACCGACATTTTTGCACTTGGATCGACGATCTACTATATCATGCAAGGCTATGAACCCTTTCCAGAACTGGACACGTTCGAGGATGAAGTTGTAATCCAGACGCGTTTTGCGTTGCACGACTTCCCCGTTCTGGACAACCTTCTTGTCGGCAGGATCGTACACAGGTGCTGGAGCGGTGCATATACGGCTGTGGAAGAAGTTGTGCACGATCTCAGAGCACTGAGTACATGAAGTGGCAACGAAGACGGCAGACTGATCAAGCAATTACTGTCTCGACTGTTTGGTGGATAAGCCAAAGAGCTCTTTGCTCAGGATCCTCCAGAATCGTGCCCGATGGACCTTCACTCATAACGTCAAAGAGGACTATGTGTGAGCTTCTTCTTCGACCAGCAAGTCTTATTTGACTTCTTCCCAAGTAAGTGTAGGTGGGCACATTTCTTGACGTTTTTTGCTGATACATAACAAGCCAATCTTGATCGCTTTGCTGCGCACCTGAGGCAGAGGAACTTATTGGTCGATGGGAAATCATTCGCTGTACCATCACTTCCGGCGTACGCTCTTTTCCTTTGGAAAGCTCGCTGCGACTGCCGGCCGAACCGACAAACCCCAATGATGGAACCGATTTGATCTGGCTCACGAAGGATCCCAGAGCTGGCGGCGCACTTTGCCGAACTTCAAATCCCAATCGATACGGCTGCAAAGGTTCTTGATTGCAGTCTGGAGGCGCAGGCGCTGCGACAGATGACAACCGGATGGGATCCAGGCGGCACTAGGCACCTCTGTGGTATACTCTCGATCAAGCGGGGGGCCCAGAAGTGCTGGTCAAGGGCATCCATATGCGCTGTTGTTCAACCAAGTGCGGCTGATGGAGGACTCAGGCTCAATTGCGACTGCTAGCCGGGTCGAACGGATCGTTGGCAGCGCGGAGACCTTTCAGATAGCCTTGGAGGTAAGCAAGGTGCTCTTTGACCTCTCCCTTTGCATCCTCCTGATCAGAAAGGCCAGGTCCCTTCCCCTTCCCGTCCCAAAGCTCCTAGTCTGTAGAAATGCTTCTTGCATCTGCACTCCGCACTGGCATCAAGTCCGGCTGTCCTTTATATCGTCGATTCGATGTGAAATTTGCGCCTCGAAGTGTCGTCTCTGAATTAGTTACTGACAACCTGCACGTGTTGCACTTTCACGTTCACATTGTAGTGTGTATGGCCAAATAGCCAAGTGTCGACTGATGCCATGAGAGTCTTGCTCAACAAATAATCCAGAATGTCGCTGCAAAAAAACCCGTTCAGCGGGCTATCTCTGTGTTTTGGCTGTACAGCTGGACCATACAGAGGAGCATAGTAGGTTGCAATAAGAACTCGACTCTGGGTCTTTGTCGCTCTAATGTCTGTTAGCGCCGTTTCGAGAAATTCTCGATCTGCCTTGTGCGCGTCGGTTTGTTTCTGAGGAGTTTACGGGTATAGAGGTGTGCTACCTAGTAATGTCGTGTGTAACTAACAAGCTTATAAGATGAGTTCGGAGAAGATTAGGTGAATTGTGGACAAGGTTATACTTTGGATAAATCTGAATAAGCTCACTACATAGCCCTGATGTTTGAACTATTATATATTGTATTGACGACTGCTAAGTCATCAATCAAAGCATCAGTGGTTTAGTGGTAAAATCCGTCGTTGCCAAGCTTCTTGAATTCGACGGGCCCCGTGTTGTGAGTACAATAACCACCAACCAACGATGTCAATGAAATACATACTGATTGCGATAATAGCGATTCACGGCTGATGCATTCATCTGTGAGAATAAGCATGTTCACTACATGCAATTCGACTTTTTTGCTTTTGCTGTCTGTTCATTATCTAATAACCTGCGCGCTTCCAAACTTCGGGTATCGAGTTGTAAGCCACCTCAGAGGAGTAATACTCTCTTTTGTCAATGCCTATAGGCACTACGATTTCGCCTGAACGCAAACTCATGTCAACGCGACTATCTCGCGGGACTCGGCCCTGACTTTTGCTATCACTTCTGTACCGTCGTCCTTGACAGTTGGTCCACGACAAACGAGAAAGATGACCTCCTTACTCTTACGCCATCCGAAAATCTACGTACAGGTTATCGGGTCTCCGATATCAGACAGTTCAAGTACATGCCGTGCCGTACAGCGAGGGTAAGGTATGTAATAATACCTAAGGATGTAGGTCAGGTACTAGACTAGGTAGGTCAGGTAGAGATTCCGATACAAGTCTACAGTTGTCCATTTGTGTCCGGCTTTTTCTTCGACGGACGAAAAGGTGCTACATACCTTATCCTTCAGTTGTCTTATATATATAAGGTACATGCACATGAAATGAAAAACTCCATCCTAGAGCGGAAAGGTCCAAAATCGAAAAGGTCGTCCTTTCTAGCTATGCTGATGGATGTGTATACACACGAAAAGAAAAGAAAAGAAAAGAAAAGAAAAGAGACTCCTACGGACTCTCTCTCTCTCTCTCTCTCTCTCTCTCTCTCTCTCTCTCTCTCTCTCTCTCTCTCTC